ACTCTGTGCCAGGAATGGGGAACAAGACTAAATACATATTTCTTATTATAAATCACAATACCACACTTCCCAAGAATTCATCTAAAACACTGAGAATTAAGAAGTTAACCATTATTTGATCTTAGCTTCTCATTCAATATAATAGACTTTCTTTGGTATCCAAGACATGTAATGAAGTGAATCTTGCTTAGGTTAAGCCCATCTCTGTCTTCCTGAATTATCCACCGGTTGGTTTTTGTTCTCTAAAAGAGTAATTTGGCTCATCCTGTGATTGCCTTTCAAGTGCTATTAAATAAAACCCAAGTTTTAATAATAGCTTCTCATTTTTGGTCTTAGGGAGTCACTTCTCACTCTGATTCTCAGTTTCTTTATCTACAAAGTGGCAAGTCCTGCTTTGCTTATGTCATAGGGCTATTAGGAAAGGGGAAAAAGACAGCAATCATTTATTAAACATCTGCTCCATTCCAGCTTTATACACACTGAGCTAATAATACTCCCAGTCCTATAAGGCTGGTGGTATTTGCCCATTTGAGCGAGGACGAAGTTGAGGCTAAGAAAAATTAAATATTTTGCCCAATTACTACACAGGTAGTAACAGAACCAGGATTTGAATGCAGATTTGACTGGTGGCAAATCCCTGGGCTTAACCATTTTACCATTTGGCCTGCTGTGAGCTGGTACTTAAGAAAGCAGTTAATAAATTTCAATTACTCAAATATTTCAAGTGTTCTTCTTCAGCTTTCTATTCTCTGGGGGAGACATTCTCAATCTTTTCTTTTTAAAGATTTTATTTTTAAGTGATCTGTATACACAATGTGGGGCTCGAATTTACAACCCCAAGATCAAGAGTTGCATGGTCTACCTACTGAACCGGCCAGGAACCCCTGTTTTTAATTTGATGAGCTATCGTTTTCCTATCCTATATCATTAGATTCCCTATCCTCATGGATTAGCATGTGTTTTTTTTGTTGTTGTTGTTGTTGTTTGTTTGTTTGAGAACAAGAGGCAGTACTGACTGCCAGGGACCTACCTAATCAGCATGAACATAAGAAAGCATGTTTTTAACGGTCCATTTAAAATGTAGTAACCGGAATGGGAAGTCATGTCTTACCGGGGCTAGAGTTGGAAAACCCAGGTTGCACAATGCTTCTCCAGCATATCACATTTATTTTCTTCTAGTTTCTTCATCCAGACAAGCTAAAGCTTTGTTATCATCCTACCCAATAGGCTTCAAGGGTCAGACATGCTGGAACTTGGGTTTGAAATGAATGAGTCAGTGTTGAATCTGATTCCAGCATCTTTAGAAATGTTCCTAAGGAGGTCATTGAAGTGGGGGTACAGTTACAGAGCCTGTGACCACTTCACTTGCAAGGAAAACCACCCAAACCTAACTGTATTTTAGGGCCTCTGAGGCCTAAGAAAGAAGATAGTCTGTGTTTAGTGGCATGGAGGGGGATAGTCTCTTTTATCTACATAGTTGAATTGTAAAATAAAATTTCCAAATGCTGAAGAGCATGAATGGGGCTAGTGTGATCGCAGTGAGCCCCATCTATTTATCCGGGACTTAGTCTCATGTTGGCTAATGGGCCCCTGAGCTAATGTAGTGATAAGATTAAGAAAAAGAGCAAAACACCGTTATTTTTTCAGATGTTGACGCTTTTCAGCTTCTAAATAAGCAGGATGTTGCTAATTTTATTACCTTTTTCTACCTTGTTTTTCCACTTTTGGCCAAAAAGAAATGAAAAGATGTTTCCTATTTTGTACAAGAATGATTTTCTCTAGTAACAGTTGTAAGAACAAATTACGTGCAAGAACAGCCACCTAATATATTTCTATATTAAAATGTCATCTAAAATGATTGGTTGTGGGTGACATAGGAATGGGGAGACTAAAAACGATGAGTTTTACTGATGTAAGTGGTTGAATGCTAAAGCAAAGGTAGCTCCTCTTTGAATAATATCTTAGTTTAAAAGTTGCCTTTCCAGAGAGACCTTTCTTCAGCTCTGCATCTGAAGTAACATGCTGGTCACTCTTGCCATGCTCTTCAAGCTTCCTTTCCTTCATTCATGTTTCTATCACGTATTTCCTAGTTTGTATTTGCTTGTTGTCTATCTCTCCTCCTCTGAAGTACAAATTCTAGACTGTGTTCTGCATAGAAACCCCCAAATATAGAACACTGCCTATATTAGGCACACAGTGTTTTTGAATGAATAAATCCATTTTGAAAACGTCAAGTTAACCACTTACTCTAGGCTAGCCACCGGTTTACCATCTTTTGGTTTTTGTTTTTGCTGTTCTGTCGAGTTTATTATATCTTTTCTTCTTCTCCCTGTAGGTTTATTTATTTGTGGATGTAATTCCAGCCAATCCGATTTACTGTAATATAGTAGAGAGCATTTATCAGACACTTAATAGAGCAGTGTTTGGTGGGAGGTGTATTATAACCAGGTTTTGCTAATACAGTAATAGATTTTGTGGATTTTTAAAAATGCGTTAGAGTGGATTTTTTTCCCCTTTTAAAAAAGTTACATCACTGATTTGTGTTTTCTTGAGTGGGACAGAAAGAGGTGGGCTACCAGGACTTGTTCCTAACTTTAGGTACCCAAAAGCAAGTCTGTTGAGGAGGACTGAGATCCATTTTTCTAGAAGCAACTTTTGTATCCGCTGTCTGGGGTCGGAGGAGTGAGATCATGTTGGCGCCTTTGTTTCAGCTGAAGACAAACCAAGTACGGGCCGCACAGTAGACACCATTGGATGCCTGTTAACTCATTTAGGTTGAAGCATATGGTTCTAGCTGATGGGTGGGTGGCGAACTCAGTGCCAGCTACCCTGAGGGTGCTCAGTAAACATGGGTCATCTTAGCAATAATGCTGGGCCTCCAACCAGACTCGACAGTTTCGTTTTGCGACCTGTATGGGGACAGCAGGAATCAATACTGCAGCTGGGAGAGTTTGGCACAAGATGTTGGGAAAATCATTTCATTTCTTATGTTTTGGGGGATGGGAGCTGAAGGGAACAGTGCATTTCTTTGTGCCCTGAGAATTGCATGTCCTTAGAAAACGTTTTGGCCTTGACGTGGTCATGAAATATGGTTTTTTTAAGGGAAGAATTTATAGAAAACTCATGTTCATGTTAAATAATTTTAAGATTGATTTGTTATTTATATATTTCTTTCTAGTTGTGGAGTTTTTTTTTTTTTTCTTTTTACATTGCAAAAGAAATGGGTTCTGGCTATGAAATCCAAACCCTCACTGGGGACAATAAAGTTTACCAAGTCATTTGCCATGACAAAATGGTTTATTAGCCCTACTTAACACAATCCAGGAGTTGGTAAAGATATCTTGATTTGTTCTTGTGAAGGGTTTACTTCTTAAGATAAGTCTAAAATACCTAAAATATTAAGGTGCAAATACTTCAATAGCAAATGTACTTTACACATCAGAAATAAAAAACATTTAGGAGACCATAGATTTGCCTGTGGGCTCAATAAAAGAGCTGAAGATCTTTTGTTTTATAGTCACACATTTTATTACAAATTTCTTTTATTTTGTACCCAATAGAAAAGCAAGTTTGGAATCTATTTACAAGTACTATACATTTACACATATTATATACAGTTAATGAATTTAAAGAAAATGGGCAGAGAACCACAATATATACGGAAGAATATGCCACTGTACATGGTTTATTATCATCATGGTCCTCAGTGTTACTGAATCTTTATTGTAGTAATAAATACAGTTCTATATTTACACATCTTATAAAACATCTCATAAATGTATTTTTTTTTCAATTCCAAGTTAAAACATCTGATCAAAATAAACATGCTTATATAAAAATAAATCTACCTAGCAGTCTTTTGGTTTGGATGTATTGAAGCTAATGTAGTATAATAGAAGTTACAAATTAATCCTTTGACCTTTAGTATTTAACAATTTTGCTTCTTAAAATACTTAACACATGTATTACATATGGAATAAGCAGAGAAGTCATGTTCCTGACATCAGGTGGGTTGGTCCAGAGACAACACAGCTAAAACCAAGCTAAATAAACAGGATATGTTACAAGTCCCTGTTGAGTCCAAAGTGGTTTCAGACATAGTTGCTAGAGCTACTAGAGATACACGTGTGAGAAGTTATTATGCCAGTGGATTTCATTTATGTCAGTCTGCATTTGATTATTTCCTTAAGATGCACATTAGTTTGAATCAACTGATAAAACCACCTGCAAAAAGTGTGCACTCATCTGAAAACAAACAAACAAAAAACACCAAAATCCTCCCAGGTTGCTCACCATCTTTTCTAGGTATATCCATTGCCGGCAATGGACTTTTATTCTGAGTGCTGGACAGCAAGGAGTTAACAAGGAATTAGACAAGGCAAACCTCACTTCTACATGATCGCCTTCATGGCAATTTAAGAATTTAAGTTTATTTTCCTTTCAAAATATTTGTAGACAGTTTTACTTCACTGAGGTGGAACCATCTCATGCTGATACACAAATTCTGGCATCTCTAAAAATGACATGACTATAACTAAGAAGGCCCCACATTATCCATTCAGGAGGGGACTGGTGACCTGGAAAGATCCTTTGTGAGGAAAGGCAAAGGAGGACTAAAACATCCACATGGTCATTAAAATGCAATCCTACTGGCCACAGCCTTTACTTAGTAATGTAGGCCATTTAAAACCCTATTTTCCAAACACCTCTAACCATCTTTTAAGGGCTTTTCAGGTTTAAAACCTCTTTTGTAAGCAAGTAGTTCTGCCCCTCTCCCCAAATAATTAGATTGGTGAGTTTAAAAAGAATTCAGTTGAAATCATGGAGAATCTTTTTTGAACATTGCAAATCTGCTTTTTAAAATCTGGGCATACCTAAATAGTGTGACTGATCTATCTCTTGTATCTGAATGAATTATACAAGCAGCATTTAGACTTATTTTTCACTTTCCAGTATCAACAGGTTTTCCAGCTTTTTCCACGCTGAGAGATATCAAAAACAAACAAAGTTTCCACTCGGCTATTTTTAGTTACTGCTCTGATGTACCCAATCTCATATTTTTGGTTTTTCAATGTTTGTAAACATTTTCTCCCACAGGTGAATTAGAGACATGGGACAAATGCCACAGATGAAAGGTGACAGCTTTCGGTCACCGGGTAAGCTGGTGGTGACACGGAACTGGAAGGCAGGTCATAGCCGATGCTGGTGCTGGTGAAGGTTACCAAGGCTTGGGTTGAATCACAGGACTGCTTCTCGACATCATCAGAGTTAATAGACATCAGGCTTGGGTTTCTCGATCTTGTCCAGAAGTGGGTTTGCTTTCCCAGGCTCCCCAGATCTTCCTTAAAATGGGGATTGAAGAGGATGTACAGAAGGGGATTGAGGCATGCAGGAAGCGGGACAATCACCAGAAGGATAAACTTAATTACTTCGGGACTGATAAAGGTGAGGTTTAGTAAGGAGGAGAAGGACAAGAAAGCCACGGGGCAGTAAAGGATACAGTTGGTGAAGAGCAACAGAGCGATGTGCTTCACCATAGAACAGTCCCACATATTCTCCAGGTCTCCCTTTTCCAAATTGCAGTAGAGCTTGGTATAGGCAATGGTCATCACCAGGAAGCAAAGGGAGTTGAGCAAGACGAGCGCGACCATGTAGCCTGTGGTGCTGGGATCGCCAAAGGGCAGGGGCAGGCAGAGCGGGGAGGCGCTGAACTCACTGCCCCCCAGCAGTGGAACTGTGGCGATGGTCAAGGCCAGCACCGCACAGAGCAGAATGATTGCTTTCAGACTGGAGAAAGGAGTTTTCCTTTCAAATTTTGCAGAACATTTCACAGAGAACCCACGCTCCAGGGCTGCCAGGGTAAGCAGGAAAACAGATGATTCCGAAGCAAAAATGGACAAAAACCCGACAACCTGACACCCGACCCCCTGCTCCCACCACGCCCCATGCTGTGCAAAGCTGCCAAAAGTGAACGCATCCACACCAGCCAGCACAGCGCTGGAGACCCCCATGAGCATGTTTACTGCTGCTATTAACCCAATTAACAGTTTTATGGAGGAAATGTACAGAGGGGCTCTGAACACCGTTGAGGTCACCAAGGCATTGCAAGTAAGCGCCAAGACGGCTATGGTCCACACTCCAATTCTGATCAGCCAGCTACCAAACAGGTATTCGCAGAGTTTGAAGGGCCCTAGAAGTCCAAGGAAGAAAGAGACTGGGTATCAAACTAAGGTTTATGACTTCTGCCACATTACCTTTTTGTTTCTCTTGTTAGGACACCAAGAGAGAGGCCAATAACAGCCAGAGTAACACACAGTTCCCTTGTGGCATGCTCTACTTTCTTTAACTACTGTGAAAACACGAATACCAGGTGCTCATGTTTTGAAGCTAAACACAGAGAAATGGAGATGGGGAATTTCAATCACTTGATTAAGGTCCCCCAAATACAGCCAGATCTCCTGGGCTTTTCATTATACTTTTTTCAGAATGCTTCAAAAATGTTCGGGAAGCAGAGAAAGAGAATCCCAGGGAAATACTCCATAATATTAGAAGGGGAAGTATGGGTAGTATGAGAGTGCATTTCATGAAAATTTCATCTTAGGTTTATAATGACATTTGACGTTTGAGAGCAAGAGAGCTTCCCCCCCGCCCCCAACTGGCCTATCCTGTTCCTGGAATTGGGACAAACACGTGAAGTCAATATACAGTCTTTTACTTCTCTGTATAAATTATTATTTGCTTTAATCAAATAGCTATTTAGGGAAGATGAAATTTTAAAAAATAAGTGATTACATGAAGCAAGACTGCTGTGTACTAGTTCAGGCTAGATTGCTGATAACACTTAAACAATTGCCTATGAGGGGTGTCTGGGTAGCCCAGTTGGTTAAGTGGACTCTTGGTTTTGGCTCAGGTAATGATATCAGGGCTCCGAGTCATCAACATCGCTCGGCAGGGAGTCTGCTTGAGATTCTTTCCCTCCCCATCTGTTTCTCAAGGACCCCCACCGCCCTCCTCGTGCAGCCCATGCACGCTCCCCACCCTGCTCAAGTAAATAATAAATAAATAAATAAGTAAATAAATAAAATCTTAAAAAAATTGCATATCCTTCTAACTACATGATTGATTCTTCAGTTTTCATTAATCTGAATCAAGTCTTTCGCAGAAACCTTATCTATGAATGGGGACCAACTCTAGGGAATGGACATTTCTATTTTAAAAGTCCCCATGGGGAGGGATATAAGAGCCTCAAAGGTGGCACAGATTTTGCTTTGAAGTGTCACCAATATGTCATTGATGGCCTCAGAGTCAGTGGTGGGTATGGTGCTGAGGCAGTGCTGAGACCTTTCTCACCTGGGGAAGGTGAGCACTGCGCCGAATGAAGGGCTTTCAGGTCTTCCTCAAAGTCCAGCAGGAAATCTTCAAGATCACGCTCATCTGCAGGAATGAGAAGCCCTGGAATGATGGGTTCTGTCTCTTTCCTGGGGACCACATCCCAGGACCACATCCTCGAGACATGAAAGGTCACAAAGGGAACTGAAGGCCAGATGTCCCACTTTTCCCTGGGCTCTGGCTTTTGGCCTTTGGATGTTCTACTCGAGCTACTATATGACGTAGTATTCCAGATGAACTGGGGGTGAGGGAGGGTAACCCCAGGCTCCGGACCATAACACCTTAGCTCTCTCCTTCTGGCCTTGTTCCCTGCAGCTCATGATGGCCCCAAATTGCACTGACCTAAATTAGAGAAAGGTTGTGGGCCTCTCTGTCTCCACTTTTCCAATGCTTAGATAGCTAGAGTGCAAAGGTTCTGGGCTGTGTTCTCTGAGCACAAGAAGGAGAATCAGGTATAGTAAGTTTCTATCTCTCCTGGGGAATTCTGCTTAACAAAGGACAAATCAAGTTACAGCTTGGTGCTTAGTTTAGCACCTACTTATGAAATAGGAGTTTTGTGATCTAACATATAGAACAACTGCCCTTAAACATAAACTCCTTGAAGAACTTTTTCTTGTCCATTGTGTTCCTCCTGGCTCATAGGAGGCACTCTTAATTTTTTTTTTTTACTGAGTGAATAAATATGATAGAAATTAGCATGGTTGAAGCAGGAAGAGCAAGAACTAAGGGAAAAACAAGAGCCAGATCCATGCTGTGGCCTCAAACAAAAAAGCCAAGGGCTAAAATATCAGCTCCTTAAACCGATGTGTGTGCATGAAGAGAAGGTAAGGTGGGAACATGCAGACAGACGGAATCACACTTGCTTGGGAATCAACAAATCATCAGGGCCCAAAGGGAGAAAAGCCAGTCTGTTTAGACACAGTGCAAACTCGCAAGGTTGGCAGGAAAGGAAAGTGGGGGCCGCCCGGGCACCTCCTCACTACCACAGGTGTGGTTTCAGGTGCATTGCTGCCTGTTTAAGTAAGGTCTTACTTCAAGGAAAGCCAAGCGCTTTACAGACATTATCTCATTTCGCCTTCCTGACAGATACCTCCATGGGGGGCGGGAGGGGAGAAGGTTTGAGAATTAGTTGGATGAGAAGTGGGATTCTTGAGCCCTTCTGCTGACATATGGAGGCATCTAAATGCCTATACTGTCCGCTCCTCTCAGGCCCTAAGAATAAAAATGGATTTTATCTTCTGGAGGAAACCACTCAGAAACATGCTTTTTTAAAAAAAGGTAGCCGTAAGGATGAGGTCCTTTTTAAAAAGCTTATGGAAATATTAACATCAATATTAAGAATTACCCCTGAGGATAGTCTATGCCAAAGGGGATCGAATTATAAATAAAAGTATGAAGAAATCACTTACGGAAAAGATGAACTTTTAGAATGAATCCTAAGGGATATTTCTGTTTCTCTGGGAGTCTCTAAGTAGTGGGATTGATTGCCAGCTTGCTGGGGCTGGTTACATAGGGACTTATCCGGAGTTCAGATGACCTGTTTGATGACCTTTCAAGAGCCTTCTAGATACAATTTCACCAGGGTGACATAGCAGGTCTTACCTTGAACTTGAAACATTCCAGCATCTTTCTTATAAAGGTCATCTGTACTGCTGTTGTCCTCTTTATTCCATTGATTAGATATTTTATAGACATTCTCACACACTCCAAATGCACAACACTGGTAAGCATAAGGCATTTCTATAACCCTTTAAATGAACAAAACCAAACAAAACACATGCTTAAAGACACAGGTTATTAAATATAGTGTTCATCTTCTTTCACTCAATAATTCTGTCTTTGGGTCTTAGCCTTGAGAAACTAAAATATTAACTGTGTACAAAGATGTTCATTACTGTGCTATTTATAATAACAATGGAGTTATTAAAAATTATTGCCATGAAATGTTGATAACTGTTGAGGTTGAGTGATGCATATGTTATATTATTTTCTCTACTTTGGTGCTCGAAAATTTCCATAATAAAGAAGTTAAAAAAATGACTGCTAGGGAAATTGTAGCACCATTAAAAAGTGCTTATAGTATGACATAATGTAAAGTAATGAAAACATGATGTAAATTTGTATATGTACAGTGGTTCTAACGATTAAAAATACATTGAAACAAAGTCTGGAAGGAAATAAACTAAGAAGTTGTTTAGGGGGTATTTTTAGATTTTTGCTCTCTTCTACTTTCCAAACTCCCGTTTGGGGTTATGGTTTTAAAAGTATGTAAGATGTACTGTGGTTTAAAAATATGTATATATATGTATATATACACACACACATACCTACATGTATGTAGGTATATTTAGTCTTTCAAGGGATTTTTTTTAACAGTAATAAGCATAACAGGTTTTAAAGAGCATTACTTCCTCAAAGAAATATAAATTTAGCACATTTTATTAGAACATATAACAAGCTAGATTAATTTAAAAACGTAAGCAGGACTACAATAATGTTATCATGTTATTTAATTACGTGGCCTAGTTTACACCCCATGGATCAGTGGTTTTCAAACTCTTCCCCTGAACGCTAGGATTCTGGGAGTCATCTTTGAGAAAGAAAGGAAATGTGATCAGGAAGACGCAGTCTCCCACTTCAGGGTTTGTCCTAACAACGGCCCAGGGGTGGGGGACTTGAGGGCATGAAATGCAATTCAAAAGAGACCCATGACCTCATAAATTTCGAAAACTACTATAACATGTCTATTACTTTGCATGACCACAAATGTATCTTATTAGTTTTAATGACAAACTCACTTGAGTTCTGGAAAGTTTTCAGATGATATCAAACTCTGTAAGGCATGATTTCCTGTTAATTTTAAGTGAGTTAAACCATGTAACCCTGTTACAGGAAGAGACGACAGGCGGTTGGAGGATAGGTCCCTGCAAAACATCAAACAACAATTGGCTTTTGGTCTGTGTTAGCAGAAAGCATTGGTGTTAAAAAAAAAAAAAAAGCGCAACCTAAAGATTATTAAACTGCGTCATAAGAACTTCTAAGCAGGGTCCATACCCTTCATGGTAAAAATAAACATTTTGGGTTTAGCTCCTGATAATTTTTCGATTTAAAATCAGAATTGCAGAGGGGACATGTTTCAATCACATCCAAATTTTAGTTTCTACGTTCAGCTTCATTTTGCCAGGTGGGGACATCGCAGATCAGTGGAAGGTGCTACACCTAATTTGAAAAGTGATGTTGAGTGGATTAAGTTGCGGGGGCGGGGCGGAGCGGAGGAAGACGTAAGAAGCGGAGGGGGTTGGGAAGCGGCACAGGAAAGTTTTCTCTTAGGATGGCAAATATGAAATGAAAAGGCTTTGGAACTGAAATGACATCTTATTCCACCCCACCTGATTGCTCAGCGAAAATGGAAAATTTCACCTCAATAACCAGAACCAGCTGTCACCCAGATCTTCAATTAAACACGTCAGGGCCCCCGTGGCCTTGGAGGGGCAGGACGGGGGAGGGTAGGCGGGGCGAGGGGGCTCCTCTCTGGTCTGACTCAGCTCGAGGGTGGAGAGCCCTGAGGGCCGGACAATCTGTGCACGGCGGCCTCTTCCGCAAAACCGACATTTTTGATGAATTTAGGTGGCCCCCCCAATTATTTAAAATATGCCATAAACAAGTCACGAAATACTCACAGCTTTCTTAGAGATGGCAAAGTGGAAAATGCATTGGGATGAATGATGGCAATTTTGTTCCAAGCTAAATTCCTATTAAAAAGGGATAAGGCAAGTGAGAGGATTATATACTTAAAAAAGATTGTGTGAAGTTTTACCATATATATTCATTCTTCTGCCAAAATTTAACTTCATTCAGGACAAAATAATGAGCTTATCAAATCAGCCTTCAGCTAAAGATTTTAGTAGTATAAAATGACTAAAGAGGGAACTTTAAATCAACCTTGTTTTAAATCAATCCAGGAAGAATCACGGAAGTGAATATTTTAGATTTTACTGTTTGCTAAAAAGTTTACTGAAACATGGTTGTGAAATTTTATGAGGGCATTTCTGAGCTGAGTGGGGGTGGAGGAGGAGTAAGAGACAGGACCTTCGGAGGGTCTTCCTCTGACAAGCCAGTAAATTCGAAGCGGATAAAATGTCCTAGATACGTAATGAAACTCAGCAGTGCTTTGTGTACGTTGTTAGGTATGTCAGCCCACAAGAGAAACACCGAGAAGTATTTTAAAAAATTCCCAGTAAAGGAGATGCACATTGGAATTCTTAACTGCAAAATAAATAAAAAAGGGGCTAATACGTAGGAAATAAAATCCTTTCATAACAAAAGGACCCTACAATTTATGGAGAAATAAAATTCACTCAACACGCACACACACACAAACACACACACACAATGAAATGTAGATGATTCAGCAGGAATAAGAACTTCCACGTTTCAAAAAAGGAAAAATGAACTTCTAATTTGTCTTTTTAAAATGCCTAACAAGTATAACAGAAGTGTAGACATCTGAGGAAAGTGAAAGTGATCACAGTCAACTTTTCTCTAGCACAGATGAGTGATTTATTTATGATACTGGGCCTCTTGAGTTACCTTGGATAAATGGTCTTCACAGAACATTCATATTCTCATTTGAAAGGCTCCCTAAACTGGATGAAACTGGAAGGCTTTTTATTTTGATCCATCACGGATCCCAGAACAGAAAACAATTTTGGTGAACAAGGGGAGGAAATGGCAGGGAAGGGGTGGGGAAGCTCCAAATGGGGGTTGGGGAATTAATCAAGGAGACTGTCTTCTGCTGAGCTGCTCCTAAAGTCTCTGTCCAGTGAGGGGAGCGGGTCCTACCATCTGTCAAAGTCTCTCGTGGCTTTAGGGAGAACATGGGTGCCCCCGGTGAGCCTCACAGAGCGGAATATCAGGAATGTAGGCCAAGTCTTGCCATGGGGCCTTATAGCAATTTGACTGGTTTTTGAGTAAATATGGGAGAATTTGTATGTTCAAAGGACTGTTGTTCCTCTCCTGTTTGTACACCTGTGTGCTGGAATCCTCCCAGCAGCCCCCCTAGGAGCCATTTCCGCTCTCCCGCCATTTTCAGTGCCTGGGGCTGACCTTGCAGGTGGCATACCCATGGCTCCCTACTGTTCGCAGTTGGATTCCTGGTGGAAGCCCAGGAGAGAGAACTTGGGCACTGGCGCTCCTTCTCTGCTTTGGAATCTTGTCTCTGGTGGCAACTGCACACTTTCTCAACCCCGGCCTCCCTTCTCTGTGCCTGTTTCTCTGCAGCCTCAGCCTCGGCCATGTTGTTGGTTTCTGCACACCCATCCCTCACTTGCTCTCATAACCGTCAGCACAACTCTGAGAGGTAGGTGTTATCAGTAGCCCCATTTTACTGGTGAGGAGTGAAGCACAGAGTACTAAGTGACTTGCTCCAAGTCACAGAATAATCTCAGGAGCTGGGATTCAAACTTGAGCTGACTGACATCAGCGTCCCTGATCTTTTGCTCAGAACATGTTTGAAATTCCTAAGTAAATAATGAGAGAGCCACTGCAGTAGACCCTGGGGGGGTAAGACAATGAAAAAGTTCTTGTCATTTTTGGGTAGGGCACAGTGTACACATGGCAGTGCTGAGTGCTGAGTCCTGTGTCAGAGTGTGCAAAGGGCATCAGAGTGGCGTGGGCTCATGGCAGGAGATCTTGTTCTTACAAGGGCACAGGCAGGGGGCAAGTCAAGAATGGGGAGGAATCCGATGGGCAGCGGGAACAGGGGAGCTAGCCACCACGTGTCAGAGGCCTGGGAACGTGTGGGTGAGAGTCAGGAGGTTGTACTAGGAGGTTGGAGTCAGATTTTGAAAGGTGGTGCTGGGAAGTTTAGTCTCTATCTTGAAAACATTAGGGGACTAATGAGATTCTTGCAGCAGGGAAGCACCATAATTAGATTTCTATTTGAGAAAGATTCTCTTCAGAGAATGAGTGGAGACCGATGGCGGAAAGGCTGGTTAGGAGGATGATGGTGGAGATCCAGGGGAGCCATTCTGTGGGCCTGTGGCAGAAGAGTGGATGAACTGGAGGTGGCAGAGTTTAGTGGGGTCTAAGGGGCAGGAGGAATTCAGGGAGACTTGGACATGTAGCCTTCAGGGTCTGCGTCCCATTTCTTCTGGTGTCATTAGAGGTCAACCTTTTATTTTGTGTGTAAATGAAAAAAATATATATGTATTTTTGGTGAGAACATTTAAGTGCTACTATATTAGCAAATTTCAACAACATAATAGAGTATTATCAACTATATCAGCCTTTTAAAATGGAACTGACTTTTGGAAACAGCCAGAACTCTAACTGGGTGAAAACGGCAGGTAATGAAATAGGTAATGTATTTTTGTTTGACATTTATTAAAAAGAGTAGAAGAACTTCACAAGCTGATACCAAAAGTAAGGAAAGGGCAACATACCTAATTTCAGAACAAGATAGTTTTCAAGGTAAATTTTTAGGAGAAGATGATTCTTAAGGGTAAATTTAAAATGTTTTGAGGAAAGGTATTATTTTACAAGGATATAGTCTCTTAAGTATTAAGAAAAACTTTAGGGGGGGCACCTGTGTGGCTCAGTCAGTTAAGCACCGATCCTTGATTTTGGCGGAGGTCATGATCTCAGGGTCGTGACATTGAGCCCTGTGTCGGGCTCCGTGCTCAGTGGGGAGTCTGCTTGAGACTCTTTCTCCCTCTCCCTCTGCCCCTCCCTCCCCTCTCTTTCACAGATAAATAAATAAATCTTAAAAAAAAAAAAAAGAAAAACTTTGGGGAAAAAAGAGTTTTTAACAAAATATACCAGAGTTTAAACATTACATACTGTCATTATTCATCAAAATTACATTGAAATTCAGTTTCAAGATGAAAAAGATCTGTCACAGAAAACAATCTGTTACCGAGTTTTTTTTTTTTTAATTTATGGTTAAAATATGGTGTTTTCACTTATAAAATGGAATTAGATACCATATTTACAATTCGACAGAAGCATTTTCCAGAGCATCTGTGCTCAAACTTTAGTGTACTTGTTAAAAGGCAGATTGTTATTGCACCTCAGAGATTCTAACTCATGAGGCAGGTGAGGACCTGAAGCCAGCATTCTTTACAGTGGCCCCCAGATGATTCGCAAGTACTTTGAGACACATACTGAGAACTGTTTACCCACGAAAAATGAACAGGCAGGAAGAATTGTGTGGTCATCCCATTTCTGTGTGGGAAACGATCCCTACCAATTCCAGGCTGCTGACAGAAACGCGTTTCGTAGGCAAGCAACAGCTTGGCCTCCTTCTTCTTTATCCAAGTTCCATGTCAGAGAGCAGATTGCCAATTTACTACTTTTGAATATATTCCCAAAAATTATCATGAGCAAGAGATTTGCCTTTTCATAGCAAAAGTAGGCACAAAGGTCCAACAATACCCGTATACAGCGGAAAGAAAATATTAGAGAAGTAGTGCTGTGTTGGGGAAGGTGCTGGAGGCAGTACTCACAGAGCTCGGAGACCAAGCAGCTGCTGGAATGTGTCAACTTTAATTTCATAGATTTCATTATGTCGCAGGTCTCTGAAATGACAGAGTTCCAAAGATTGATTTCAAAGTCACTGGTTTCAAAGATTAGTCTTCAGAGAACTTGTACAGAGGGATGACCTGTCCCCAATCAAAGGAACACATGAAGTGTGACTATCAAGTGACTGATTTAAAATTTTTTGTTTTGCTTAAAGAAGAACATTCCAGTTTATACATGTAGGTGTTGCCTCTCTTACAAAGCAATGAGTTCTTTCGGGTGGGCAAAAAATGCCAGCCTCGTTCAATCACTTGGTGCCTGGCTCTGCCTTCGGAGCCCTTCTAGAATTCTTGGAGGGTCTTCAAGAGCATCAAACCATTACCTTTTCAAGACAGATTGGCCTTTCTTTTTCTCCCTTAATCGCCCAAAGGCATTCAGAGAAAAACGAAATGGGAGAAGATAGATGGTTAACATCTTTTTGATCAAAACCTAAGTATGACTTTAGAGCAATAAGGCTCATGTTTTGTGGAGGCAATTTTAAGAAAGGAATGTTAAAATGTTTCCTGCCTAAGTAGCATCAATGGCATCTCGAATATGACCAATAGGACACCTCTTCTAAAGATGGCTGTTGTGAAACAGACACCCAATGAACCCAAGTCCCTCCCATGTTTACAGATAATACCGCTCATTGGATATGTAAGCTTAGAAAAATCCCAAAGCTCCAATAGCACCAAAGTTCTATAATAACACCAAGTTTGGGGTGGAAAGAGCATAACAAATTCTTTACTTACAGTACAATGCATGGTAAAATAATATTATCTATGTTTCCCAACTTAATAGCCATCCTACACAGTCACACCTTGTGTGTATGAGAAAGGAAAGCACCAAATGTCTCCCTAGTGAATCACGGGGGCAAGCAAACCAAGGACCCCTGGAAATGTGAGTTTTGGCTCTTGTTTTTTGTTGAGTGACTTAGAGACTCTTATAGACATACATTTTCTGAAGCTTTTGGCAGACTGAGAAACTGGGTAAATCTTCTAGCAGGTTGTAAGATAGATCTCTGGAAAACAGAAGGTACAAAAGGGAAAATCTGTTACATATTAATCCTAAGGAAACATGCTTTGCTCTCCTTTCCCCTCCAAGATGATATATCTCCCGAAGACAGACTCTGAATGTTTCCCCAGCCCTGACATGAAGCAGGTAGTCATAGCCATTATTGGATTAAGCATAGATCCAAACGTTTACTGAAATGTAGCTGTTGTACTTCTTTAATTGATTTAAATAATTTACTTAACGAATTTATTTATATTTTGTTAGTGATGATCTACAATGTTCTAGCTATTATCTTACTGAAATGAGTACAAATTAAATTAAATAATTGTGCCTCTCTAAGAGCTGCTATATCTCTGCAGCTAAGAGAGTCATTGTTGGTTCTTTTCTAATCAACTAAAAAAAAAAAAAACCAACAACAATTCAAAACATAGCACTAACTTTGAAATCAATCACTGCAAGGGGGAAAAAAAATCTAAGAAAGTCTTCAGCCAAAACTCAACAAATTACAGAATAACAAAAACATCTGGACATATTTATAGTATAATATAACTAATCTAAAACAAGCCATGGTAATTTGCAGAAAGCTTAAAAAAAGAAAGCTGGTAGATAAAGTAACATAGATACCTAAAAAAAATCTTGTCTCATGTTTAAAAAGTTATCAGTTAATCAACTAACACACTTTCATGCCTGATTCTAATTCTTAAAACCAGATCACCACTACGCAACTGAAAAATCCATACTGTTTTCCAAGAGGCTTTTAAATTATTTTGTTCTTGTAATTGAGCACTCCATTCTACATTTATTGAATGAATGGAATTTATATAGAAAGACAGTTCATTTACTACACATAAATAATGCAGATGAAGCTGTTTGCAAACACAAATTTGTAGTTCAAACTAGAGGTTTGAAAGACCAAACCAAACAAAAAATGAAAAAACCCCAAACCATACCCCACACCAAGTACTTACTAAATACACCTGGTCAACAAAATGGTGTATATTAAAAAAAAATAGTGACTGTGATAAAATCGACATATATATCATCACAGCTGATAGTAATTTGGTTCACTCATTTTCACAGACTGCAAGGGGACAAATCCTTCCTGTGTACCAAGTAGAGGATACAGAAAACTTTCTTCGACATAAAGACACAGTGTCACTTTCTGCCTACTTTCTACCTAATGATTTTCATGGCTAACACTCATCAAGCACTTCTTAAATATAGTCACCATGTTTACAGCTTTACCTAAATTATTTCATTTAATCCTTGTGGTCATCCTTATGAGGAAGACACTGATTATCACCATACAATGTGAAATAATTTGCCTAAGATCACCAGCTACTTAGTGGGGAAAGCCCCATACAGTCAAGTAATTCCCAGGGAGGTGAAGAGACTTGGGGACAATTTCAACAGTGACGTTTCCTCATGAAACAGGCACTCAGTGGATGATTCAGTCAAAGGAGGGGAGCTCGCAGATCTGTGCTTCCAGAACGTAAAGTAGATTGTAGTATAGGTCAGGACCCTGAGTTCTACTCTCAACTTCAACCGATTCTTCAACTTGATCGATACACTGGCCAAAGCATTAGGCCTTTTTTCAGTTCTCTCCTTAAAGGAGGAGATACCCGTTCAGCTGACCTTGCAGGGTGTTGTGAAGAACAAATCAAAATTATAGGTTGAAATGCTTTGAAACTGACAAGCTCCTGTGGTTAATGTATTTGTGTTCTTTCAGACCTTTCAAGTTTCAAATGGAGGAAAGAAGAGCTTGAAGAAAGAATAATGGTCTAAGGGAAGTGAGAAAGAAGTTGGTAAGAGCTAACACTGCCTGAGAGTTTACAATGTTCCAGGTGCGGGTATAAGCGTTTGACATGTAGTAACTCACTTAATCCTCATGAGGATCCTCTGGAGGAAGTGGCTGTTTCTCTATTTTATAGATTGGGAGATGGAGCCCCAGAAGGGATAAATAACTTGCTCAAGAAATCTTGCTCGTATATAGGGAGACTGGATTTGAACAAGAAAAACAGACCCAGAGCCTTTGCTCTTAACCAATTTGCCAGTCAACCGCCATTTATGCAGTTCTAGCCCTGGGTGGTTTGCCATTTGCGATGTGACATAGTGGAGACAGATGCAGTTTTAAATACTGGCTTCTTACGTACTAGTTACAGCACGTGAAATCCTAGTCATGTCATCAGGCCAGTTTTGTCAAGAAATGAAGATAATTACACCTGGGTGTGGTAGGCGGAATTCTAAGATGGCCCCTAAGATTTCCACCACCTGGTATACACGCACTTTCTCCTGGTTATCCAATCAAACTGCCTGTATTTGAATGTGGACTCTGCTACTTTCCTGCAGTGTGACTTCAACAAATGTACTTCACTTCCCTAGTTCTCAGTTTCCTTGTCTGTTTCTACACCTCAGAAGGTGATGTGGGGTGAAGAAGCAGACTTACTCCATATTCCCTCCCTCTATACATGAATGACTGACTCCAAGCCTGTCCCATGGTGTTCGTACAACCCCGTATCACTGAACAATGGAAGTCTGAAGTGGTTAGGGGGCCGGGGATGGGGGAAGGCAGAATCACCGTGGCAGACATTCCCATTCTTCTACTTAACATTTGTAGTGCTGCTTGTAGTTCTGCTATGAGGTGAAGCCTGTGGTGGAATGACAGGCATTCCACTGACACAGATGTCTCCCGTGTGAGAACAGAGCCATGACGGAAGACTAAGGGTCCATTCATTAAGTCTCCACAATGCATGAGAGGACGATAATAGGGGTGGGAGTTGAGGGAGAAGGTTGAAAATGGAAGGTCAAAACAAGGCTCTTCAAATTCCTATAAACTACTTTTCAGTAAGGGAAAGGCAGAGAAAAAAAAAAAGCTCCAAATCACCAGAAATCACATATGCAAGCTGTTTAACCACTCGTTGGAAACATTACAACGCGGCACCCACAACTATACCGGAAGAATGTTTGGTCGCCTTTATCAAGGTTTGTATGGGTCTGATAACTTAATTTTTAATTTTGGCATCCATATTGGGTTTTTGATCCATTATGTAATTTTTTTCTGCTCTGCACAGCCTCGAGAGGGGGAAATGAAGTTATGTAGGCTTGTTCATAGCCTTTTTCTGACAGGAAACGTGTGCCAGTTGAAACTCTAATGGGAGACTGATGGGACCTTGGGAACAAAGGGTGAGCCACCACCATTACCGGGGTCACCTCAGAGAGCCACTTCCCCAGCCCACAGGGGCGAGGCAGGACCGACCTCCTGGTGCCCTCAAGGAGAGAACTTTCTCCCCTTTTCAAGGATTAATGAAAGAACGCCTGCCATTTCGCTCCTAAATGGAAGTTGCCTGTTTACACAACGTCACTGCCTTCCTGATACGCACAGCACTTGCAGATTAGGTAACTGATCACAGGCGGTTTGAGGAAGAGATGAGATCTGGGCTCCAGTTAAAGTCCTGTTGAAACACAAACCAGACATAATTCTTTTATTCAGGCATCGCACAGTGACATATTTTTATTCACTGACTTTAAGATTGGTCAGGCTTCAAGGGCAGTGCACGTTCTGGGCAAAGTCAAGAGCCTATTCAAGTACTTACAGACTCTCCAGGCTCGCAGTTCCAGTTAAATCAGGAAATTCAGTTATTTGTGAGGCGCCATTCAGAGTCCTAGAAGGAGGGGTACATGAGTACTATTGGAAGAAGATTCCAGAAAGGGGTAATTTTAGTGCCATTTTCAAAGCACTTTAACTTAAAATATTCACTTGGCTTTTACAGTACCCCTGCAAGGGGAAAGTGATCTGTAAGAGAAAAACCTACAGTGTTCTTAGTTCAGGTAAATGTTGAAAAGCGGATCTTCCAACAAGCTGGATGGGGTTGTCATAGAAATGTCTGAAAAAAATCCAAACACCAATGTCTTAGTATAAAAGTTGAACGACAAAAGAATACCTGTTCAAAATTTCGACAAGTATATTAAATGTATGTAATCTTGATGGTACTATATTGTATAACATTCCTGGTTACTTGGTAAAACACAAAGTGTTTTAACTCATGAGGAGACTTTTTTTTTTTTTTAAGAATTTATTTCTTTATTTGACAGAGGGAGTGAGAGAGCACAAGCAGGCAGGGAGCGGCAGGCAGAGGGAGAAGCAGGCTCCCCACTGAGCAGGGAGCCCGACGTGGGACTTTGTCCCAGGGACTCCAGGATCATGATCTGAGCCGAAGGCAGACGCCTAACCGACTGAGCCACCCAGGCATCCCATGAGGAGACTTTTGGTAAGAAATCCATACTATATAAAAATGAAAGTTTCTGACAGCAAGGCAGATATAAGTGATAGATACTAAGGAGAAAAGCAAGTGAACAGACTGTAGGCATACCTAAAAATCTTCCTCTGCCTCCAACATCTGTGGCATATCCGTTAGGTGGCAAAAAGGTAATTCAAGGTGCTGGCAATTGTATCATTAAATAAAGAAAGATGAAGTTCTACAGATTCACATGAAGGTTAGATCCTCGGGTCAAATCTTATAATAACATACACGAAGGACTCTTCAAAGTATTTGAGAGGAAATTTGCTCTTCTGCTTTTTTGGCAACATTAGATTTCTAAAAAATTAATTACTGCTTTAAAAGGTGAGGCATTATTAGAACTTAAATATTTTGTTTTACAGATTTTTCAGTAATGGTATTTGAACTGTCTGGTCAATGAAGCCCTACAAATAGGTCTTAGTGGAGAAGACATCCTAGTTCAATGAAATTCAACAAATATTTATTGGTGTCTACTGTGCTCAGCGTATGAGGGAATTTATAGACTGAGTCATTAAGGAAAGCCATCATTAACTATCTACCATGTGCCTGACATTATGCTAGATTCTGGGAGTTTGAAGATGGCTAAAATGTCCCTTCCCTAAAGAAGCTTGGAATCGGTTGGGATAGAACAAATAAGTAAAAGCATAACACTTTCTGGTTGATAAAGCACTTTCACGTATATAGTTCAATTGATCCACTCAACAACTTTATAAGATCCAGAGCACAGATGCTTAGATACTATTTATTTCATTTATGGAGGAGGAAAGTAAGGCTCAGATACTTTGGCAAGTTCAGTACCTCCCACAGCTTTACTTTTCTCATTTGTTAAACTGGGATAATAAATCTGAGTTGTAGGGTTTGTGTACAGATTAAAAGAGCTCATGCTTGTGTAACATCTGGTGGACCTGGGTTAGAGTTGTCACCCAACAAACCTAAGTCCCCTTCTGTCCTCCTGCCCTCTGCCCTCTTCCCTTGGATTAGATCATCGATAAGAGAAAAAGCTAGAGCCAGAATATAGGTCTTATGATTAAAAAATGGAATTTTTCTCGTAATATCACACTGTCCCTTATCTATATCATATGCTTGTATGTATATAATTGTGTTCACATACATATATTTACATATGTACACTGGGCAGATATGAATGAATACCCATGCTTGTGTACCTAAGTTTCACAAATAAGGAGTTATAGGGTTCTCAGGAAGGAGTTTTCTTGTGAGATCAAGAAAAACTTCATGTAATGTCATTTGAAATGGGCTCTGGGAGACAGAATTTCAATAAGCATTGTGAGGGGATGGACTCATAGGAGCAAGGACATAAAGGGTTTTGTTCTATGGATACAGCTTTGTCGATCTGGGTTATGGCATCGGGTAATTGAGGAGACTGTGGAGAACTGGTCAGGCGATGAGACAAGAGACGATCCTGAATCTCCGGATGTTCCACAGTAGGAGGGTGACAAGATGGATGCTGTGCCTCCATCCTCCCGTGGTGGAGGCAGGGGGATGAGCCTTAGATCGGCAAGAATGTGGAGGTAGTGGCTAGCAGAGGCTGGTGGCAGTGGGCCTGAGAAGTTACGCAGAAGATGGGGACCACAGAGGGAGAAATGGGGACCACAGAGGGAGAAATGGAGACCGGGTAGCCAATGGGACAGGGGAAGCATTCACAGAAACTGGGAATTGGGGATCTGCCAGGGGGTGGCAGTGACTGACGAGAGAGAAACCGGCAGAAGCAAGATGAGGAGAGTTTCAGGGAGAAAATAGTGAACGCCATAAAATACTGGATAGAAGCACTAATAAATTTTGGGGGCTGTTAGTCCTTTCTCAAGTGGTATTAGCATATCAAAAGAGTGATTAAAAAAAACCCAAACAAACCCAGTCTTGTGGCTCTAAGGAAAAAGAAGCAAAGGCAATGCAATTTGCCAACTTTTAATATGTAAATAATCTCTAATGAGGCCTAATGTTTATTGGCAATAAACTTTAAAACCCTTAGTTTGCCAACATACTGTCAGACTATTTCAGAAACGATGAATGGTTTTTTTTTTTTTTTTCACTTGTCAGGGCTAATTGGGATTCCAGCTCATTTGTGACAGATACTACATGGTTCTAGAAAGCCTCTTAATCAAATTGGCACAGGATGAATAACTGCCAAGAAATGCCCCCAGAGTCAGGTTCAACAGTTGTCCTTACTCCCCTCCTGCTGTTTTGAGACACCTCCTGCAGGAACTCAGGCCAGTTCTATGTCCCCATTTTGCCAGGTCTTTGAACGAAGAACCATCCTAACACCTGTTTTCATCTTCCCGCGCGTCTACACGTGATTGACCTTCTGTCTGTGCTAAATGTGAAACATATAACTAATTAATTATATGCTGTAGTTGTAACTCTGTTTTGTGCTTTTATGGTAGATAAACGCTCATATACATCTTTTTAGAATATATGCACCTTTCTAGAATTACAACCGAGCTTGTAATTGTATAAATGTGACTCAATGCTTGGGCTTGATAACAAATAGATACAGAAACCTCGCATAATACAGTATCCCCCCAATGCCCACAATCAACGGAGTCTATTGCTGTAAAGGACTCCTATTATAATAATTTATAGGGGCACCTGGGTGGCACAGTCAGTGCAGCATCCGACTCTTAGATTCAGCTCAGGTTGTGATCTCAGGGCCTTGAGATCGAGCCCTTTATCAGGCTCCGCACTCAGCACAGAGTCTGCTTGAGTTCCTCTCTCCCTCTTCCTTTGCCCCTCCCCCCCTGCACGAGCGCTCTCTCACTGAAATAAATAAATCTTTAAAAAAAATTTGTATTTTTAATATACCTGGGTTCAAGTTCTGAATGACTAGGTGACCTTGATAATGATTCTCTAAAAATCAGTTTTATTCCTTAGAAAATAGAGATAAGCAAAAGTATGTCACAAGATTACTGTGAAGTGAGTCAAGGCCTCTGAAGATATGAAGCATAATGCAATGCACACCTGTAGGTTCTAGAAAAAAAGAATCTTTGATGTTATTTCAGCATTCAGCTGAAACCTGGCAAAACATCTCTATAGATGCTTCTCTGTAAAGAATCATATTGACAAAGACAAAACTTGGGAATATATAGGACATTCATTTTATTATATTTAAAAGTGCAATACATATTATATCTCAGGATGGGGAAAAATCAAAAAGAACTACGGCCACTTACATTGTAATAAGAGAAGGATTGCCTACAAATGCTTTCTCGGGTATTGACTTGATATTGTTGCTGTGAAATCCTCTAGAAAGAGAGGGAAACATTTCTTTAAGAAAATAACCTGTAGGGTAACATTATATAATAGCACTCCCTTCCTGTGGCAATGATTAGCGTCTTTGGTAGCTAGAGGACAAGGTTACATTCCTCTATGCATTTTGAAGCTTATGTGCTCTCCTGGAGAAAAAGAAATCACAAGCTGTCCTCTTGAAAGAGGAATAAAGAAACTGAAAAGAAGAGTTGTGCTTTAAGGAAGCTTACAATCTAATGTTATAAAAAGAAAATCCATCTGTTAATATCCAGTAGAACACCACTGTATGACAACCAGATACAGAGGGAACCATCTTTGGAGAGAGGATTATGATCACTTCTCCTGACCCTGTTTGAAGTGAGGAGAAGAGAAAATTGACTTAAGCTGCTGTGAAGTAGAGATTTAAGTAAGCTCCTTATGAGGACAAGATTTCCTGAGCTGAAGGGAGGTATTCAGTGAGTCTGTAATAACAAACCGATTCTCCTCTGCCGGGTGCTAATGTTGTCTGAATGGCAGAGGGGCAGAGTCAATGCTCTTTGGGTCCCATGTGGCCGGCGCCTGGATGAGGCGCCTTTGGGCTGCCTGACCATAGACCATGAGGATTTCCCAGTTGAGCCACACGTGCGGGCTCCTGAGGGAGAACCCTCCTAAAGTCTTCCGCTTCCAAACAAGCCCTGTTGTCTGCCTCCTTTAGGGGTGTCTCTCATTCCTCTTGGCCAAGAGAATAGGCTCTACGTTTATTTTCCTTTCCAAGCCTTGGAACATTCCTTACATACGTCATTTATAGTTCTAGGTACAAAGAAAAGCTAATTGAATTATAGCATATAAAAGACAATGGATGCAACCTAAGAGCTGGAAGTCAGCTTTACTTTAGTAAAATTGTGGGTTTTTAAAAATTAAATATGATTCACAAAGTATTTGAAGAATATGAGATGATGTATGTGAAAACATCTAGCACGATACTAGGCACATGCATTTTATTTCTCTAATCCTAGACTTAAACGACCTAGAAAAGTTTTTTCTTCAAAGTGCTCAGCAAATAACTGAATTCCGTGACAATTCTTTATAAATGTATGAAGTGTGTAGATGTTGGGGGACTATAGCTTAGGAAAAGGGTATGATTTAGAGAACTATGTATATTTTTTCTAATATACATATTTTAAAGAAATCCAAGATTATCTAATGTTTGCTGGAGATAGAATAAATTAAAATATATTTCAAGTGTACTTAGTCATTATTTATACAAATTTTTAAAATTTTCTAGTCAGTCATACTAGGTACAATAGTCAAATATATTTTAAAGTGAATTCACAAAGAAGAGAGTTCTCCCATTAAATTTGTCCTAAATACTTACAGTTCTTTAAGGTTGGAGAGTGTCCTGATGGCAGTGGGGAATTCATCAAGATTATTATAATTTAAATCTCTGAAAAGAAGTAAACAGTATTTTCAGTTTTTTGTTTGAAAATTCCTATATACATTTACAGAGAAAGTGAATATCCTGTTGCAATGGGCCAGGATCACCGATCAAAATCCTCCTTCCTTCTCTTCATGGAGAGAGATAGTCTTGGCTCGCTGACCACCATCATTCCACCAGTATCTGCGTTAATGTGGTCATTAGACTGCTCGTGAGAAATGTCAGAGTCAAGTCTCAGTGGCACTGAGGTATTTAAAAACGGAGGGAATGGGGGTACATACAGTCGTGTTAATGTCCAAGTAGGAGGGACACTTGGTTAGGTTGTTGGTAGCCTGACCATGTAGCTCTTCACCTGAACCTGGCTCACCATGCTGTCAGCTGGTGTGTGTGTTCCTCCTGGCTCCTGAATCACATCTCCTCTCTTGTTCCCGCCTTCACACTCTGATGTTTCCCCCTGTTTTTCAGTCTCGCCTGAGAGGACATCTTGGAGAGCTGCTTCATCCCTGACTCCTGTAGAGTGCCTGTGATTCTCCCAGCCTGAGGTCCAGGATGACAGTCTGCTTCTGGAGAGGTGTGTGTGGTACAGGGTACTCTCAGGAAGGGCCTCAGGTCTAGAATTTCTTCAGGGTCACAAATAAAGATTCAGACCAGAAGTATGTTTTCCTCGGTCTGTGAGGCAAAGCTCTACATTATCCTTCATGCCCAGAGATGGCATGGCCAAACAATTTCAACTCATTAATTTCTCTATCTGTTATGACACAAATGGCTTTTCAATTCCATTACTCAGACTAACTCCACCTTTTATCTACAACTTCGTATGAAAAAGTAATTGCCTCCTAGTCTCGGGGAATGGCAGATTTCCCAGATGACATGGAAAGCTCTTTTGGTCAGGCAATCAGATGTGGTTAGATCTTCCTCTATGGAGAAGAATTGCTTTTTAATTTTGAGAGAGATAATTTGACTGAGTTAAACATGAATCAAGATTCCTACTTGTCTGGCACAAACCATCCTTAAGCTATACTGCAGGCAGGAAACTCATGTCTTTTGTGGACATAAATTTTCTTCCTGTTTGTAAATCTCTCCAGATGCTCTGTTTTGATTAAATGGAGGATTGGGTCCTTATAAATTACTTGGGTTTCTAGTGAGGCAGAGGAAGAGGTTGGGAGTAACCAATTTACTGATCCTCTATAGCCCTGGGCAAGGCAAAAGGAGGGTGGGGGACAATGAGACTCATATGAATTTGCCCTGAAATGTTTGACTCTATGGTATTACATGAAATCCTGGGTTCTCATCTCAAACATGGCGGGGGTGGGGGGGAGAAAGACTATTTACGGAAATACCCTTCAAAGCCGATATTGTTTTTTGTTCCTCTTGTGTTGGAAAGGACTGGAAGGTGCTTTCCATTACTAAGATCCCAAGCCCAGCCCTGTGTAGATAAGGGAGAAGTTCTAATTTTTCCAAGCACCTCATAAGAATGGTTTGCCTATGCCATTAAGTTGACTTCAAAGTTGTGCCTGGAGAAGTTCATCTTTGGCATCTCCTCATGAGGATGATGCCTCCCTTCTACGAGGAAACACAGAGTGATGTAAGTAACCCCGGGAAGGAGAGCTGGGAGCGCTCACTGACCTGAGCCACCAACAACAGATGGCCCGTCAGGAAATCGTCAGACCCAGACCTGATTAGAAGCTAAATTGACCAAGTACAAATGCTAAGCTCTGGATGCAGATGAATAATGGGCTCCAAGGCCACAAGAGAGGTGGTCTTTGGTCTCTCCTTCTGCAGGCCGGGTCAGTCACCTCTGTAGATGTAGTGGCCCTGGGTGGTTTACTGTACCTGAGTATTAGAAATATGGGGGTGAGGGGGGCACAACTGGAATCACCCCCCCCTCCAGAACACTCAGGACCCCCACGACCTGTCACCTCACCCTCATGATACGTCTCTCACTCAGCTAGGGCAGTGAAGGAGCAGCTCCTCCCCTGAAACGGCTGGGGCCTGGGGAGGCCCACGAAAACATGAGAACGTTTCCCGTCACGGCTCTGGGAAAGACTCTGGGCAGTTAGCTGGCTGGACTCTATTTTTATTATAGGTACCAATTCAGATCTGAGCTTTTGACCTATTCTTTGGAAGTAGTGTACGCTGGTAAACATGGATTTCAGAGTCAAACCCGAGAAGAAGCAAAGCCCAGCTATGCTACTGCCTAGATATGTCATGTTGGTAAAATAACTTAAACCTGACTAGAGCTTACAGTGGGATGGTGATAGCCGCTCTCATAGGACGGGTGTGGGATCAACTGAAACCACGTATGCCGAATGGTGCAGTATTTGGATAGAGATATACGCAACAAATGGTAACTATTATTACTTTTTAGTTTTTCGAATCACTTTGTTGTTTGCTAATGGAACTCCTGTTCATCTCAGATTGGAAAGCCCAGCATTTGTCTGGTCGGTATCCTCTCATTGGGCGGGGGCCAAGAAGGGGGGCACGCCTGGACTAGACTCATGAATAGTGAGCCTGAGTGACAGATTAGAATTGATCCTTGACACAGAGTACACATTCCTAGGCAAACAGTCGCTGCTCAGTAGAGAACATCTCATTTAGCTTATAATGATTCTAATTTACCACTCTTATTAGATTAAAATAAAATCTCAGTTTTACTAGCTCTCTGTGTGTGTGTGTGTGTGTGTGTGTAAGATAAAGCCACCGTAAATATCTGTTTAAAGCTCAGGCAATTAACCAAACCAAACAGCAAGTTTGACTTTAAGGCTATTTTGATTCCTTCAGAATACTCATGAAAACACTGAAAAAAGGGAAACAAACAAAAGGTCAACTCACAAAGTCTCTAGGCTGTGGAGCCCATCAAAGCATTTCTTTCCCAGGGAGTGAATTCTATTGTTATGGAGATGCCTGCAGGAGAACATTATGGACACAGTCAGGAAGGCACACTGCTCACGGAAACTTCGGCACAGACTTCTGATAGCTTAAATCCAAAGAAACTTAGAGTAAAGAATGCACTAGTTGTATATAAGAAATGCTTTGTTTAACATTTTTTTTCCCCAAGACTATATGACGCATCCACTCTTACCATAGATGATTCTATACTATAGAATTTAAAGGCAGTGATAGTTTTACCTTTTGGGTTTGAGATATCAGGGAGTATATAATAATACGGGCAACATGACTGATAAAAGTAAATTCAGGTTGTTAACATAGCTTTCGGATGTAGGATATTAAAGCAGAGATTCTGGCCATCATTGACAAATGAAGGATGGAGGGAAGGTCCTGGTGTACACGCATATTTTCTATTAAAGCTGCTGGCTTATAAATGGCTATGTTCCCAGGGTGGGACCACAGGTTAACAGGCAACAACAATTTTAGCCACAGAGAATGGTGATCAGATTTTTTTTTGGCTGCCCCAGGAGATTAGTTATCTTGACATAGTATTAACATGTATAATTATCATCTTTGGCTCAATGGTAAGTCAGTTAAGTCAGGGCCAATGAGAACAGCTGTGTATATAACTGAAAATTGGACCAAGTCCCAAGGGATTTTTGGAAAATGGGCTTAAGGAGAAGAGGGTGAAGAAGAATAGTGGGTCTCTGTAAATCCATTCCCTCAGGTGGAGGAAAAAATTAAAGCACACACCCAGCTTCTGGTGGGTCAGTGGCATCATCTTTATATGCATGAGTCAGTATAGAAATTTGTCAATATCACCCGAAATTTCTTATCCTTTAGACTAAGGTTTTGTTTGTTTGTTTTTTCAAAGATTTTATTTGTTTGTTTGTTTATTTATTTATTTAATTTGAGAGAGAGAATGAGAGAGTGAGAGTGAGCAGTGGGGGGAGGAGAAGAAGGGGGAGGGCAGGGAGGAGGGAAAGAATCTCAAGCAGACTTTATGCAGAGTGCTGAATGTGGAGCGGGACCTGGGGCTTGATCCCACGACCCTGAGATCATGACCTGAGCTGAAACCAAGAGTTGGTCACCCAACCAACTGAGCCACCCAGGTGCCCCAACTAAGGTGTTTATTCTAGTAAATCTATGTTGGTTTCATGTGAGATCTTTGTGACATTTCTTGAAGATCTTGTACATGCAACACATGGGGGGAAGGGGATTGAGGGGAACCTAAAAAGATGGATAAGATGCTGGCCAGCCCTCAAAGGAAGATAATACAAGAGAGACACGGGTAATCAAGAAAACTGGAATAATTGAAGGCAGTGGTGGGCCCGTGGGTGGGCATGGAGCAAAGGGAGAAATAGGGCAGAAGAAGCCTTCCTCAAGGTTCCTCGGCAAACTGATCTTCCAGCCTTTCAAACAGCTGCTATTTTCCTTTATCAACCTTGATTGACCATTATATTATACACGTGGGGCATACAGCTACACCCTTAAAGGAGACTGATTATTTTTCAAACCATTACTTGAGAATCATTTTGGTTTACTTAAAATAATGAAATCTAGACCCATCCGGGAAAAAAAGCCACACAAACACACAGCTCCCTGTTAATGGTTTGTCCTTACTTCTCTTCCCTTGGTAGGGGTTCAAAAAATATTTATTAAATAATAAGAAGGGCATATTTCAATTTGACCTGAATTAGAAATTATTACCAGAAATAAGGAATTTTTATTCGCTTCCATCACTGGACTAACTTTGTACAGTGTGACGATCGTCTGAACAATATACATGGGCTTCCCTAAGACACAGGTTGTAGTTTATCTTTGAATACCTCCAAGTGCTTGGCACTTAGCAGGTGCTTGGTTGAATTCTTTAATATTTTCAAGTGATTTCGGGGAGTCCCTATTCAAGGCGTGAAGGGCCAGCACTTGAAGGCCAACAATGTCCTGTGGTGAAAATTTAGAAAGTGTGAAAAGAGAGAGAGAAAGAAAATCATTAAAACTTACAGAACTACCAAGCTGGAGAGGTTTCCAAAGGCATAGTCTGGTATGTGGTGTATTTTGTTCAGGGCCAAGGTCATGGCCTGCAGTGCTGATAAACTTCTGAAAGCCTGGACGGGGATTTCTGTCAAGGCGTTGTCATCCAGCCACAAGTGCCTCAGGGAATGCAGGCCACTGAAACAGCTCGGGGGGACGTAGCTGATGTGGTTGGCATCCAGACGCCTGGGGAAGCAAGCAAGCAAGTATGGTAAAGAGGGCAAAGCCCAGGCAGGAGATCAGCCTTGCAGGAACACTCTCAGTATGCTGAGGAACAGGTATGAAACAGGGCTCAGGGCCCTCAGGATGCCCAGGCATCTGGAACAGTTTGCTTTCCTGGGAGGCTTTCCTCACTTGCGAGTAGAACCATGGCTTCATAGGGCCCCTCGGCTATTAAAATTCCACGGAGCTATGATTCCCTTCCAGGCTTGTGGGTAACATGCCTCCATGCACAGAAGTGGCCTCCCCTGAGGTATGAAGTCTCAGTGTGATGATCTTTCAGTTTTTCTCTCTGACACCCTTTCTCTTCCCCCTTACCCCAAGGCAAATACATGCCTTTGCTTTCTTTTCCTTTTTTTTTTTAAGATTTTATTTATTTATTCATTTATTTGAGAGAGGGACAGAGAGGGAGCACGAGTAGGGGGAGGGGCAGAGGGAGAGGGATAACCAGCCACCCCCCCAACCCCCCCACCGCCTGCTGGGTGCGGAGTCAGTCTCAGGACTCGATCCCCAGACCCGAGATCATGACCTGAGCCAAAGTCAGATGCTTAACATACTGAGCCACCCAGGCACCCCGCATGCCTTTGCTTTCTCTGGACTGTTCTGAACCTACAAAACCTACTATTCTACCAATTTGTTCACTGAACTCTGGGAAAAGATCTTGGTATTTAAAGAAACGGAGTCATTTCTGAAGGCTGTTAGAGACACGCCTCGGGGAGAGGAGAGGCGGTCCCTCTGGTTTTCCTCAGTACAGTGCTGATAAAAAACCTAAGAACTGCAGGCTTTCTTGCTCATCTGACCATTTGCATTGGGCAGGTATTTGTTTTTCCTGACATTTTAAACGAATAACAAAATGAGCAGCTTTCCCAGCTTCTTTCTTCCACACACCATTTAAAAAATATATATTTTATTTATTTATTTGACAGAGAGACACAGCGAGAGAGGGAACACAAGCAGGGGGAAGTGGGAGAGGGAGAAGCAGGCCTCCCGCTGAGCAGGGAGCCTGATGCAGGGCTCGATCCCAGGACCCTGGGATCATGACCTGAGCCAAGGCAGACACTCAATGACTGAGCCACCCAGGCGCCCCGTTTTTTTTTTTTTTAAGGGGGGAAATACATCTAAACATAGGTCTGGGTAAGGAGCTGTTGCAGCTTCAGAACCAGCAGAGGGAGTGCAATGCACTTCTCTCGCCCCACCCAACAGGAACAGCGACTGCAATGACAACGCCGAACTTTTCTAAGTGTAAATTGCAATTTTCTGTAAGGTGCATCAATGACAGAGCCCCCAGCACCCGGCTGTACTTCCAACGGCCCTCGCTCACTTTTCCAATCTGTTCTTAAGGCTCACGCATTTGTTTGCATTTTCAAAGCTAGGATTAAAAAAAAGAAGAAGAAGAGTTGCATTTTAAGCAGTCCGTGTCTTAGGAAGGATTAGAAAATCACGAGTGGAGTTTGAAAAATGTTTTAGGAAGCATTGAAGACTAAACAGATGCAGGAAGCGCAGCAGGGTCATGGAATAATCCCTTTCCAACCAAATTTAAACAATTTAGAAATAGAATTCTCTGTGGTAGGGAGCTAATTTCTTTGGAAAGCAGCCTCACTTTTGGTCACAATATGTCACTTCACTTGTCCTCTGGCTTCTGCTTCTATTGACTGAATGGGGACAAGTGATGCCTTCGAGGCCCCGGACCAGGTTTTGCTATTAACTGAGATAAGGTCACTTGGAATGAATTTTAAGAGTTTGGTGTCCAGGGGCGCCTACTCACAGTTAAATTTCCAGTAGGGTGACGATTACTGTAGGCAGCAGAAACACAGATTCCAAGTATCTCAAGGTTCTGTCAATAAACGGAACCGGAAATGTTTAGGAAAACTCAACACTGCCCTTCCCCCTGATGCAGTGACAACACGCTCAGCCCAGGTTCAAATAAGGTATAACTTCATCCAGGGTGAGGAGGTGATGGTTTTCTTTTGACCAGAAGTGAAGCATGTACGTAAACTCTCCTTAACGACCGCACTGATTAAACAATGAAGACTTTATTTAAATAATATGAACTTCCCCGTTTGAGGTGACATCTTGTCTGATGATTGCCAGTTGCTTATGTAATAAAACAACAAGTGGCTTCTAAGAGTCCTGAAGATGACTCATCTTAAGGTTCGGTACACACGTTGGGGTACATTTACAGAAAAGGCTCTCTCAGCACTGAGTCAGAGGCTTGTCTTCTTCGGGACTTAAGTTCCCGCTAATGTCACCGCTGGGTCTTGAAGTGACCTTGGTCTCAGTTTTCAATGTTAATAAACCCATTTCTCTGGATAAGTGAATTTATGAAAAAAAGTAATTTATGATTTATGATTTCGGAATCACTCCCTGCACCCCGCAGGAAAAAAAGAATGTAATCTGCCCTCCACAATGTAATCTTAGGGCAATTTGCTGTCTGAAATGAAATGAGTAAGACAGGGCAATTCTGCACAGTCCTATCCCTTCCTGTCCTAATACTCCCCGACCCCATACTAGGGTATCCTGAATGTGGCACTAAAACGTGTCTCTGCCTCACTAGTTTCTTCATCTAAGAAGCTCCCAATAAACCATACTTCTACTAAATGCAGTGTTTTGAAGTCCATGTCCAAAATATGATCCAGCCAGCCACTCATATGCTTGGAAAATGCAATATTTAAGTAGTGGTGTATAAGAAAAACATCACTACAAAGTACACAAAACCACACATAAAAATGCAGTTCTAGAATATTATCAGGGACAACAAAAATAACTGTGTTATATAGTTCCACTTTTTAAGTGTTTCTTTGTTATCATTTCTATTTCATGCCAAGTCACAAAGGGTGTGTGTGTGTGTGTGTGTGTGTGTGTGTGCCTGCAGCTTAGAATCTGAATTAGAGCAGAGATTTGGGATGAGAAATCTCAGGTCCAAGTCAGTATACAGTAGCTGTGTGACCATGGCCAAATCAATAGACCTCAGCCCTCACACCTGTAAAATGGGGGTAACACCCCTCTATTTTATAAGATTGCTTTACGATTAAAGGAATGAATACAGCACACTATAAATCACCTTCATGATTTTACATTATTATTACTTGAGGCTGGTTAACAGTTTGTATTTTTGTTTCTTTTGACCACGGAAACCATTCAGAAAAAAAAGAGGTAAACTAAACTTTGCCTGAGTCAAAGGTTGGTTAAAAGGAGTACTATATTGTCGGTGAATTTCAGTTCTGAAAAACGCTACTTCTTTCGTCCCTCATGACGGAAATAAGAGGTGTCTGCAATTGGACTGACTAGAAGTTACCCTTACTTTTCAGCCTTCAGCATCACAATTATAGAGTGTGCATGCATGTGCACGTGAGTATCTATAATCCCAAAGGGCAAAGAGTTTTGTTCCTGATACATTACTGAATAGAACGTCTTCATTCCAAAGGCAAAGGAGAAGCAGTGACATGGGATATACAGCACATTCTCAGAGACAATTCCTACTGGTGATCTTGGCATGTAAGTATCTAACCCTAATGTCACAGAGGTAGCACAAAGCCTGCACGCTATTAGGGGTAACAAAATAAAACACTAACAATGGGAGTGGCCCTATCATCTTTTAGACAAATAAAACCTCTTAATTATGATCTTGAAAGGCATTCTAAAAAGTAATCACCAAATGGGACATGGTACCCATTTTATGCTCCTTCTGTTACTTATAACTTCTAGCAAACTGGTAGATACAGATTTTACCCTACTTTCTATGTTGTACAACCACTTACATCATGGGCCTAGGGTAACTGAAAAGTGCACTGAATTAGAAAAATCAAGACACATTAAGTCAAGACCCTGTCGGTTACTAATTCTGAGATTTAGAGGCACGTGGATTAATTTCTCTGAGGGTCCATTTTCATATCGGTAAAGCAGAATCGTAATAGGTCACAGAATTGCTATGGGAATTAAATGAGAAAACATATGTTCAAGTGTTTTGTAAACAGTAAAGCATTCCACAAATGATAGGTGTTATTACCTGAGAAAAATCTTCACATTTAGGAAGTGATATCATTCCTCCCCCCTCCCCCACAAAAGTTTCTTTAATTTTTCCTGAAGGTTCTTTACTCTTTGTCATTTCAAATCTCTCTAACGGAGACTGACATTTTTTGAGGGGGTCATATATGGGCTGGCAGGACTGCTGATTTTCTACTCACCGTAATCCTTTGTATGTAAGTTCAGTAGCTACCCTGCATGTTTTGATTAGAGTTCTAGGAAGCCTCCCATCACAGAGAAAAGAAGAAGCACACATCTTTGAGATTAGGCCAGCAGAAGTCTAAAAAGGCCCCAAAGGCTAACATGGCTGAGGAAAACTATGACATCACCTGGTGCAGGAAGAGAATTTTCATCAAGTAGAAGTCTGGGCCGTGTTACTTAGAGGACTACCACCGGTGAGAAAGGGTTCTGTCATGACTTTGGGGCGTATGTTGGAATAACTCCCTCTCAGGAGGGAGGACTTGGAGGACTCCATAGTTACCAAAGGGATTCTGCTGCACAAACTGCTTGGCCAACGGGACTGTCCCTCATGGACCTGAGGATGCGTCTCCTCATCACTGGGAACTTGTCAGGGCCATCCAGGTCACCCTGACAGGCTTTAATACTTTTGAGTATCCAAGGTAAGCATCTAGAGTCTGGATAACTGCGTTCAGAAGATTTCTGGGTTATCTACCTATGAGCAGTGTCCCATTCTCCTCCAAATCATCTTCAAAATCTGCATAAAATTGTTTCTCTGGGGTGGAGGGTTGTACAACCTCCTGACTGGGTACCCTGATAATAGCTGTGCTGTAGAAAAGATCTCTTTGATTGCAACGTGCAGAGGGACTGGTGGGAAAGTAAGTGACCAGGGCAGTTGCGGTCAGGAGCGTGAGAAAAGACAGAAGCCCGAAAGAAGTGTGGAAATGGACAGGAAGGTCCGAGATGAGGATTGCTAAATAAGTGGG